GGAAATGAGAGTGTGTAGTTGAGTGGCTTGACTCATGTAAGCCTTATTTAGGCTTGTTTAATGAAGCTTAATTAACCTTGGCTTATTACAACCAAATGAGCATTAATTAGACTAATTTTAATTCGTTTCGAATCGACTTTTAATTGAACCCACCGTAAATTCCTAAAAATTCCAAATAACACAAAAATCAAGTTAATTTTGTGGTCGAATGTCGATAAGGCCTTTAATTCGCAAACCAAAACGGAAACATGAACAGATCTTTCTACGTTAAATAGATATAAACACACATAAGGCAACGTATGATGTAAAATTTCACTTTAATTACTTATTGGGTATAACTAAGCATGGATTAACGTTAATCATGGGTCGAGGTGTTACAACTTGTCAGTTCCATAAAGAAACCTCTGGCCGGGTACGGATAACTTGTCAATTCCATAAAGGAACCTCTGGACCAAGAACAAATAACTTACTTAAGCCACAGAATTGTTGCCATGAATACTTGTCAGAAATTGGACAATCATTCATTGTACAAAATATATAACATGTTATAAAACAGATCTTATTCCATATATAGAAATAAATAAAGTTGAACATATATTTATTAAGTTATTACTCACAGATGACTCCAAAGTAAAAAACATAGTAGAGAAATCAGGTAACTTGCGGCACGTAACCTACATAGATGCAACACGAATACGTACTGAATTACACATCCGGAATTATCAACTTAGTTATTTCTTATTTAGGTGTATTTCTACTTCTTATCATCATTATTATGTCTTAACTAGGGCTTAGGAATGCCTAGGATGCAATGAGTATGCCAAAATATGCTATTCAACACGTAGACAAATTTGCTGAAAACAGGGGCCTCGCTCGAGCAGAAGGCCAAATATGTGAGTGGTCACTTGAGCGCAACTTACTTCGCTCGAGCGATTTGTAAACTCTGTAAAAGTACTGGTTGTGTGAATTTTTCGCTCAATGGTTGCTCAAGCGTGTGATTGAGGTCTTCGCTCAAGCGCAACTCTTGTCGCTCGAGCAATCTGCAAAATGTGTCAACTTCTGGGAGCATACATTTTACGCTCGAGCCAACTTTTGGTCGCTCGAGCAGAGGTGCAAAACACAGAGTGGTCGCTCGAGCACAAGATCTGTCGCTCCAGCGGTGAGGTCGAATTCTGGAATTTCCAGATTCACCTGCAAGCTTCAAAACCCATCTTTAGCCTTTCAAAACACATCTCTTGGGCTCAAAACTTGAGAAAACAAGTCTAAACTTGGAAAACATAAAGAATTAAATATCATTTCATGAAATCAAGGCCTACAAGCATGTCAATTATACAAACTTAAGCTTGAAATGTAAAAACATAACATGAACATGACATGCATGAAATGATTTGAGCTCCAAGTTTCTAAATCATGAGCAAATGAGATGTTTAGGTCAAACACATGTTGAATTCTTTGAACAAACCCAAGATATGGACATTCATATGGAAATTCTTGAGAATCAACTTACAATTCTTAGTGACTTATGCATGCATGTAGGAATCATGCTCCAATCCCTTAATCTAAGCTCAATTCTCACATTTTAACACTTAAACCTCTTAAGTTCAACCACCTATGTCTTAAATACAAAGTTTGAGGGCACAATTCTTACCTAGAGTTTCGAATTCTCTTGAATTCTAGCAAATTCTTGCTCAACTCCACAAATTTTGCTTCAATCTTACCAACTCCCCTTTTCTTCTTCTTGAATTCACTCATTCCCTCTAACTCTCACTCTCCCTCACGTTTTGTTGTCTCAAGGGAATAAAATGAGAGTGTAAAATGTATACTAGAGTCCACTCATGCCTTATATAGGCTCAATTAAGTTGACTTAATTTATCTTGGCTTAGGTTAATCACATTGACATTAATTATTCTAATTAATTCGTTCCGAATCAAATTTTAATTAAACGTACCATAACATTCTAAAAATTCCAACTAACACATATATCAAATCAATTTCATGGTCGGATGTCGATAAGGCCTTCAATTCACAAGATATAACAGAACCTCAAATAGATATTCCTACGATAAACAGATAAAGATACAAATAATGCAACACACATGCACTTATTCAGAATTTCATTTTAATTACTTATTATGCATACTTAATCATGGCTTAATCATGGTTTAACAGTTAATCATGGATCGGGGTTGTTACAGTCTCTTTCTCTCTCTCACACATTTGTAGGCTCAAAAGATGAGGAAATGAGTGTGTATCTAATATCCTAGAGTCATTTCTTGGCTTTATATAGGCTTGATTAGAGAATATCATTAGTGGCTAATTAATTGCTATTAATTATTCTAATTTAATTCGTTCCGAATCGAATCTTAATTAGACCTACCATAAAATTTTAAAAACTCTAAATAACACATAAATCAAGTCAATTTCTTGATTGGATGTCGATAAGGCCTTCAATTCGCTGAACAAAATAGAAACATAAACAGATATTCATACAATAGACAAATATAAACACAAATAATGCAATGCACATGGAAGTTACCCGGAATTTCTTCTGAATTATGTATTAAGCATACTTAATCATGGATTATTGGCTAATCACAAGTCGGGGTTGTTACAGTCTTCCCCCCTTAAAGAGTTTGGTCATCCAAACTCAAATTACCTTCGTTTCGAAAGAATATCGGGTCCAAAGGGAACAAATCAAGATAGTACTACTAGTTGTCAAAGAAAATAGACAGTATATTACTACTATCTGTCAAATAGCATAAAATCACTATTTATTTTTCTAACCAGAATATTATTTTGTAAATCCGCAGAAAATAATTTTCTTAAAAGAAGAAAGAGAAAAAGAAACAAACGGAAAATTTTGTAAACAGAATAATTCGAATCTGTCTTAAGATTGTTGGAACAATTTTCTGTGTAAATAAAATAATTTGAAACAATTCACCAAAATAAAATAAAACTTATAGTATTTATTTTGTAGAACTGAGTAAATAATTCAAAGACCAAGTTAAATGTGTGACACTCTGTCCTTAAGACAGATTCGCCCCGCTATGGTGCTTACGGTTGAGTGGCGTCTATCTCCCAGGATACAATGATCTTAACCAATTTGTAGTAGCACTCCAAGACAAATTGTTCGGCGAACTAAACCTGTGTTCTAACTCTCTGATTATTTAATCTAAAACTAATATATAAAGAATACTAGAGCAAAATCTGGACAGCAAAGGCATAAAAGTAGACTGATTTTCAGATCGGAAAACACTGCTGGAATGTTGGTATTTATAGGCACACAAGTGCTGACCGAACATGTATAAAAATCAAATGAACAGGTGTGGTTTGAATCCAATAGGTGCTGTTTTGAAAACACACAGATATGCACACTGTTCAATAGATTAACTGCTGGAATGACACTGTTTGAATCTGCCTGGGCAGATTAAAATCTGTCCGGTTTTGAACAGATCCAAAAAACAGTTTGGGCTCAAAAATCTGTTATGGAATAAAAGGAAGAGATACAATTGTTGGACAACAATTTGAATTTCAAATTCAAATTAATTTTTCCTGCAAGAATTTATTGAAAAAATTCAAATAAATTTTGTCTAAAAAATTAATGTTTAGACTCGACCCAACCCAACCCAGGCATGGCACGGCTCGGCCGGACGGACGGCGGCGGCGGCGCGCACGTGTGTGGTGGTTTTGGGCTAAGGTATACTTTGTCCATAACTCTTCCCTTCTACAAACTTAGGGTGCCCCTTGGGGTCCAACCCAAGTGTTGTAGGCTAGAGCTTATATACACAAATAAACTCTCTTAAAGTTTCAATGTGGGACAAGCCTCACAAGAAAACCCACATTACAAACTTTAAATGTTCATTCCATGAACCCGAAAACGACGTCATGTTCCTATTTCACTTATAAATGGTTTTTGACGAATCGTCTTCACCGTGTGACTTGCCACGTGACAAGGAACACTTCACCTCTTCGGACCCGCCCCAAAAGACATTCAGGGCCCACTCAATTTTGGGCTCAAAGTTGGCCTAAAATAAACTTTATAAAAACACCATTTTTCCAACATGTTATTATATTCATATTAATTTGAAATGAATTTTTATCATTGCGTTGTCAATTACATGATGTGAATATTCACATCATATAATTGAAATGAATATTCATATCATTATATTCACATTAATTTGAAATAAATTTTTATCATTGTGTTGTCAATTAAATGATGTGAATATTTATATTAAAACATACGAATGTGAACGTTCACATCACTACATGTTGTGAATAAGAATGTGTTGTCAATTAAAATATAATGAACGTTATTTTTGATGTGTTGTTTATTAAAAATAAGAAGGTTCACATATTGTGAACATTCATATCATTACATTAGATGAGATAGATTTTTTCGAAAAGGTGTTGTGAATGTTCACATTAGATGAGAGATAATATTCACATTATTTTTAATGTGTTGTCAATTAAAAATATATTCACATTATATAACAATATAAAATAATAATATCAATATTATTTAATTTGTGTATGAAATTTCCTATACCTTGGTCTTTTCCCTTCTCTCTTATCCCTCAACATTAAATATCAACATTAAATATAAGGACATAAGAGTCTAAGAAAATAGTGTAAATCAAGAAAAATGACTTCATGGAATAAAAGTATAAATACATGGGATTAAGTGGGTTAAAAAATTCCTTCATGAATTTCTTGGGTTAGAATATTTCTAAATGAGATTTATCAATAAAAATTCTTTTTCTTTTTTGTATTTTTTTTTAAACTAAAAAATTAACTAAAATAATTAATTCCAAAACAATACTAAGTGTGAATCACATTTCATCAATTTTAAAATTACACAATGCACTCATTTTTTAAAATTTATTTTCATGTAGATATCATTATTATTGAAATCACCACCATTGATCCTTGAATAATTATTGAGTAATTTCGAAATATAAACACGGATACTCTTTAATATGTAATTGATAGAGAGTGTAAATAAATAAGGCATTATGTTAAGTGATTAAAAAATATAAAATAATATAATGGTATTGCGAAAATATTTTATAATTTGCCTTGATCCACCAACTCGTCACCGCGAACCTCACAGTCTCCAACCCCCAGTCCTTACATAAGTCCATCAATCCCATTCAATTGCGCTCATGCAAGCGGAGAAAGCTAGGCAGCTCACTTCTAACAACCACGAACAACTCTGTTTTGTACAGAGCAGCCAAACAACACCCAATACCAACCCCACACAAACCTCACACGCCGCCACAATGGTGCAGCACGGCCACATCCTCCTCCTGACTTTTCCGGCACAAGGCCACATCAACCCTTCTCTCCAATTCGCCAAGCGTCTCATTAACATGGGTCTCCAGGTCACCTTCGCCACCAGCGTCTTCGCCCAACGCCGCATCTCCAAAACCACTGGAACCACAGCCAAGGGCTTGAAGTTCGCCGCCTTTTCCGACGGCTACGATGATGGGTTCCAACCAGGAAACGATGTACAACACAAGTTCTCCGAGATCAGAATCAACAGCTCTCTTGCCATCAGAGAAATCATCGCCGCTAGCGCCGCCGAAGGCCGCCCGGTCACCTGCTTGGTCTACACTCTCCTCCTCCCTTGGGCGGCGAAGGTGGCGCGTGATTGTCACATCCCATCAGCTCTTCTCTGGATTCAACCTGCCACAGTTTTAGACATATACTACTATTACTTCAATGGTTATAAAGAGGTGATTACAAAAAATTGCAATGGCAAAGACTCTTCTTCTTCATGTTCAATTGAATTACCAGGATTGCCATTGCTCACTAGCCATGACCTTCCTTCCTTTCTATTCTCTTCAAGCTCAGATATATACAGTTTGTCACTCCCGACCTTCAAAGAGCATATAGAAACACTTGATGCAGAAACAAGCCCCAAAGTTCTTGTAAACACATTCGATGCATTAGAACCCGAGGGCTTGAAAGCTATTGGAAAGTACAATTTGATCGGAATTGGACCCTTAATCCCATCGGTTTTCTTGGATGGGAAAGACCCATCAGACACTTCTTTTAAAGGGGACCTATTTCATGCATCTGGAAACTACATCGAATGGTTGAGCTCGAAGCCCAAATCATCGGTTGTTTACGTGTCTTTTGGAAGCCTATTAGTGTTGCCAATGCCAAAGCGACAAATGGAGGAGATTGGTTGTGGTTTACTGGAAAGTCATAGGCCATTCTTGTGGGTGATGAGAGGAGAAGAAGAAAAAGTAGAAGAAGATAGATTAAGTTGCATTGAAGAATTGAAGCAACAAGGGATGATAGTGCCATGGTGTTCTCAATTAGAAGTTCTTTCGCACCCGTCATTGGGATGTTTTGTGACACATTGTGGTTGGAATTCGACGTTGGAGAGCTTCGCTTCTGGGGTTCCTATGGTGGCGTTTCCTCAATGGACGGACCAATGGACGAATGCGAAGCTGGTGGAAGATGTGTGGAAGACTGGAGTGAGAGTGAGGAGAAATGAAGAAGGAATAGTTGAGGGTGATGAGATTAAGAGGTGCATAGAGATGGTGATGGAAGATGGAGTGAGAGGGGAACAAATGAGGAGGAATGCAAAGAAATGGGGAGATTTGGGAAGGGAAGCTGTCAAGAAAGCTGGGTCCTCCAACAAAAATCTCATGTCTTTTGTGGAGGAGGTTGGAGGAGATTGCTTATAGAGGGAAAATGTTTGAAAAAAGTTTGCTTATTGAAGAAATGTATGTGTTCTTCTTTTTTTTTTGGTTATGATTGTATGAGTGAGATTAACATGGTTCAAGAGAGATGTTTTCCACAATTGAATTTGGTCATGAATCATGATTGGTTCTTCCATTTAGCATTCGCTAAGGGTTTTTTTGGGGTTGATTTTTTATTTTTTTTTGTGGTGATTGTTACAATTTTATTTATTTTTATTTATTATGATCATCAATTTAAGAGAAGAATATAGTAGATAAGAAAAATAAAGAATACACTAGATAACAATCAACTGAACAGATGGTCTCTTTGATTCAAATGATAGAAAATTGTATTTTGCACTAGTTGAATTTACAAGTTATTTAAATAATAATAATGAAATCAAGCGATAAAATCTCAAATTAAGCTAAAAATACAAAACTAAAACATTAGTTTTTTTTAGGATAAACTACCAATAGGTCCTAATAATTGAACTTAATTCTCATCAAATCCTATTGAAAATAAGTCTTAGTAAAATTGTCGCTATAAATAATTTTTTTGTGACAATTTTTTATATATGTCACTAAAAATTGACAATTAGTGACATTTTTTGTCGTGATTTTTATAAATTATTGCTAAAACTTACAATTAGAGAAATTTTTTTATGACAATTTTCTCATAAGACCTATTAGACAATAAATCTACTTATTAAGACCTACACATAAGGACTCCTTTTTTTCAATCTTCAAATCAACTAAGTAGAGCAACTCAGTCACACAGGCAGAGAATTGGCAATCCAAAATTTCAAAGATGTCAACAACTCAAGATCATAGAGATGACTACTACCAGAAAAGAAACTCGAAGAGGCACTGAGGGAGATATGAAACCATCACCATTTTGTAGTAGGAGACTATACTAGATGAATTTGATGTGATTTATTTTATAAATTTATATAAAAGTTTTTAATACATAAATAGTTTTATTATTTTTATAAAATGGAGTAAATAGTATTTTTACTTTCAAATTCGTGAGATTAGATTGTAAATTCAACTCCTTTATCAGATTTCTAATCAGCAATATTAGGTATCATACCAATAGGTCCTAATAATTGAACTTAATTCTCATCAAATCCTATTGAAAATAAGTCTTGGTAAAATTGTCGCTATAAATAATTTTTTTGTGACAATTTTTTATATATGTCACTAAAAATTGACAATTAGTGACATTTTTTGTCGTGATTTTTATAAATTATTGCTAAAACTTACAATTAGAGAAATTTTTTTATGACAAAATTTTCTCATAAGACCTATTAGACAATAAATCTACTTATTAAGACCTACACATAAGGACTCCTTTTTTTCAATCTTCAAATCAACTAAGTAGAGCAACTCAGTCACACAGGCAGAGAATTGGCAATCCAAAATTTCAAAGATGTCAACAAATCAAGATCATAGAGATGACTACTACCAGAAAAGAAACTCGAAGAGGCACTGAGGGAGATATGAAACCATCCCCATTTTGTAGTAGGAGACTATACTAGATGAATTTGATGTGATTTATTTTATAAATTTATATAAAAGTTTTTAATACATAAATAATTTTATTATTTTTATAAAATGGAGTAAATAGTATTTTTACTTTCAAATTCGTGAGATTAGATTGTAAATTAAACTCCTTTATCAGATTTCTAATCAGCAATACTAGGTATCATGAAAAACATTTCATGAAAATAATCATGAAAGTTTTGTAATCCTTGAATTATACTTAGAATAAAGCACCGCACACTAATCAAGCTAATTCAAGAATTATAAATCTTTCATAATTATTTTTATGATCCCTAACTTTCTCATTTCTAATACCCTTTTGAGGAGATTTGTAGTCTCGTGAAGCAAAACAAATATGACGTATGTAAAACGTACCGAATTATTAATTCAATCCTACCAACTAAATTATTTTATTTTATATTTTTTTAACTTTCAATTATTTTATGTGGTATCAAATATGTTTCCACGTTAGATTCACCATCAATTCACAATAAACAATTTTTTTTTAAAATGTGTTCGGACATAGTATTTTTTTAATTTAAAATAAATAAATTATTATTTGAGTTTTTTTTCATTATTATGAATTAATAACTTGAGTTAGACACTGTGGGTGAAATATTTTGAGAATGGCGCCACGTGGCCAAGGTGTCTTTGAGATGTCGGTAGAGGTGCCATGTGGACAGGCCATGTTTGTCGAGATGATTGTGGGGCTGATGAGGTTCGGTGTGGTAATACCGGAATCCAACATATTTGGATAGAGGACAAGAGTACTAGATAAGAAGAGACTCTTAATCTGGATAAGGAAAAAGCTTTTGAGGAGTTTATCACTATCTAGCTCAGAGTCCGAAATGAGCATTGTGCTTGAATTTTATGAAGTGAGACTTCTAGGGGACTAAGACACTGTTGGCTATGAAAATAACTCACTCTCGTGAGTCTAAGGTATGCTTTAATTTTGTGCATTGAGTACTTGTGTGAGATCTTTGAGAGATTGTTTAACTGACTTGATCGTCAGAATGCCCCCGAGTGGACGAACCACAGTATTCTTATTTTCTCATTGATAGATTGTTAGCTTAATTAGGGGTTGTTGGAAATGTTCCAAATAAGTGAGTTTTTTGTCTTTTTATGAAATATGGGTTGGGTATGAGTTGGGTTTGAAATGATGTAGTAGAAAGGTGATATGACTTAAATAGGATAGTAACTTTTTAACTTTTTAACATTTTTAGAAAATAACAAACAAGGCCTTATTTTGCCTTGTGTTCTCCAATTAAATTTTTCGTTTGATTGTATGATTTGAAATCACTATCCACGGACACCTTCAAAACAGTGTGCAAAATGACAACTGTTGCTTAATTTTCTTTCTTACCCGGCACTTGTTGGCTTGTTTGGTTTGATCTCGTGTATTCTCCAATTAAAATTTTCGTCTGATTGTATGATTTGAAATCACTATCCACAGACACCTTCAAAACAGGGTGCAAAATGACAACTGTTGCTTAATTTTCTTTCTTACCCGGCACTTGTTGGCTTGTTTGGTTTGATTTTGAAAGAGTAATTTTGAAAAAATAAAATTTTAAATTTTATTTGGTTTAGTAATTTTGGAAAAAAAATTTCAAAATCACTCTCTCTCTTATATATCAATCAATCACTTTTTCTCTCTCCTCTCTCCTTCGTAATCATTTTTTCTCTCACACATATCTACTCAACTATAATAAAATATCAAATCATTCTAAACTCTCATACTCCAAAACTATTTCTAAAATATACAATCAAACAAATTAAAAAAATTTCTGAACTCTCTTCCTAAATTTTATTTTAAAAATCTATCTCCCAAAACCAAACCAAACACACCCCTCGTCTTTGGTGCAATATTAATCAATTACATTTTTTTGGAGTACATATTCAAAACAATTATTGCAATTAAAAAATGCTTGGGAGCACTAATTAGTGCTCCCACTAATTAGGTGGCAGTGGGTCTCGCTATTAATGATGTGATGTTTTGGTCTTGGAGTTGTGTTTTTTTTTTTTTTACTTTTTTAATACATTAGTGCTATTAATGGTGATGTTTTTAGTGGGATGAATCATTGTTGTATTACAATTTTATAGAACACTTCAGCTCCTTTGTTGGGACTAGATTCTCTCACCCTGCATGGTCCAACTTGGCCCATCGCCAACCACGCTTCGATAATTCACGTTTTTTTTTTTTTTTTTCTTCGTGTAATTTTTTTTTTTTCTTCCTTCGTGTTATTGTTGATACTCAGAATACTCTCAAGGCAGGACCTTTAAGATCTACCCTTACAAATCAAACTGGAAGAAGCTAGCCGATCCACCTAAATCGTCGGACTTCCACTTGAGTAGTAAGGGATTCGAACCCTGGTCAGTAAAGAAAGGAGCTTGAGTAGTAAGAGATTCGAACCCTGGTCAATAAAGAAATGAGCATACTCCCTTACCAACTAAGATGGCCCTTTGGTGGTATAATTCACGTGTTTAGTTTCTAGATGTGTAATGCACGGATTGTGTTTATAATTATCTATATATGTGAATTGTGATTTTTAAATATTTTTTTTTAAATGTCTTCTTTTTTTTTCTTTTTTTATATTATATTAAAGTTTAATATTTTGATAATAATCATATGTGTTGGACTTTTCAAGGAATTAAATGTTTTTTTTTATTATATTATATTAAAATTTAATATTTTGATAATAATCATATGTGTTGGACTTTTCAAGAATTTTTTTTTATGCTTGTTCTTAATGCATTGAAGTGTTATTATGAGATATAATAATCATGTGTTGGGACATTTCAAGGAATTCATATATGTTGGATCTCAAAGAATTTTTTTTATCCTTATTTTTAATGCATTAAAGTGTTATTATGAGGGTAAAACTTAGAAGTTGGGAGAAGTTAATAAATGCTGAGATTTTTATAAAAAAAAATCAAAAAATCATAAAATTTAGATTGAAAAATTGGAGCTCCCACAAGACTTGGGTTAAAAATCCCATTTTGAATAATATATAGTATATATTGATATGCTAATTATAATTATATAATTTAATTAATTTAGTATTTAAAAAATAAACAATTTATTCTTCCATTGTTTTGAAAATAAAGATGATAAATTCATACAATTATAATTATCAAATCAATCTCATTTTTTTATAAGTAATTTATTCATAAAAATTTAAAAAATGAATGTTGCGAATTGTTGGCATGCTAGGCTTTTTGATTTTTGACTATTTTAATAAAGAAACAAAATAGATTTTTTAACCTAATAAAATAAAATATCACATCTAAATCATAATAATTTTATTTTTTTCTCACAAAAATTTAAAAAAAAAATTAAAAAACCTATCATAATGAAAATTTTTAATTTCAAATTAAAATAATCAAAAAATAAATAAATAAAAAAACTAACCACATCCCAAACAAACAAACAAACAAACCCAACGAGCCAAGCTGAAACGTCCCAACGACTGCACAATTGTCTGCCCAAGCACATGGAATAAGAAAACTTTTGCAGATCATGTTCTGTCTGGATTCTATCGTCACCAGTTCATTTTATAAGATAGAAAGAAAAATGTTTGGGAGCATTAATTAGTGCTCCCACTAATTAGGTGGCAGTGGGTTC